TGAAGAAAAAAAAAGAAATGCCCGTGCACCTATTACTGCCTTTGAGAGCCACCTGTCTACTATTAATCAGTTGGTTCCTACATATTTCTCCACAGTGAATTCCAACCAAACAAAGAAAATATCCAAAGAAACACCCACCAGAAAGGCATTTTATTCAGAAGGCACCTGCCTTCTCCCTATTGCTAGGGCTTCAGCAGGACTGGAGTGACAAGGGGATGAGGTGGCAAAGGAGAACATTTCTTCTATTTTCATATTCCCACATTTACCTGCCTTTGGCATGACAAGCCTTATGTTCAGCATTTCTGCAAATCAAGAAGCATGTTTCTTAGCTGTCTTCCTTCCTGCCTCTTGCTGCCATGAGGCATAATTCAGTTTGAAAACACTTCCCAATTCTTAAAGGGAGAGGTGAAATGGGCAAATAGAGTACAGATTGTTTTCTTGTTTGTTTGATTTTTAATAGAGATAACCTGGAGTACAGTTTGCTGGGTTTGGCTTTGTGGGTTTGGTTTTTTTTTCAGTGGAATACTCCTAGGCTTGCTTTCTGTGAGGGTGGATAACTACCTGTCCTGAACCAGATGTCCTCAGTTCTCAAAGAGATGACTTCAGCATTTATCTTGAAATAGGTGATATTAGGGTATGCAGTAAAGCTGATCCATTTCCCAGGGATGTAACATGGAGAGAAAAGAGAACTGGTGGAGAAGCAATGAGGGAAATACTTTTCCCTCTAATGATTATATAGAACAATTAAGCATGGTTCCTAAATACAGATTAAGATCCACAAGCAGCAAGCAAATAGATAAAAGGAAAAAAAAGAAAAAAAAAGAGAAAAAACAAAAACACCCCAAAAAAACAACCAACCAAACAACAACGACAAAAAACAACAACAAAAAACCCAACCTAACCAAACAAAAAAAACCTTTAAAAAATCCTAAAGGGTGTTTTTAATCCCTCCCAGGGAAAAGTTGTATTCTAACATATGGTAATTCTGTGACATCTGGTAAAGAGAATGAAATCCCATCTAACTTCACCTCAGGCTCTGTACCAGCAAATAATACAGGACAGGACACCCTTCCTCCCCCAGTTCTGCAATGACAGCAGCATGTTGGTTTTGTCTCTGTGACTGTTAAAAGGTTTTTCACACTGGACTTGGGCATAACATGTCTTGGGCTAAGAGCAGAATTTACCTCTTTGCCTTTGGTATGGTAAATCTATAAATATGAAACTATGCCCTGTTTTTCCTCCCTTTCCTCTTCTGCTCTAGAATCAGCAGAAACCTTGTTCCTGACTTGCCAGAAAGCAAGAGGTCTATGTATAGATACAAGGATTTGCACCAAAATATCTACTTGATATCAGTTTGTAAATTAATAGAACTTTACAAAGATTCATCTAAAAGAATGCTGGTTTAGAAATGTCTATGATGTGAGATCCTGAATAACTGTCCATTTTGGCAAGAAAAAGAATTGTTTTGTAATTTTTCATTGTAAGATTTATCTGGAGAATCAAATTTATCACTAGCATAATAAGTGTGTGTGAGTTCACCATCTTTAACGCAGTGGCATCTATTTAGGTTAGCAGCAAGTTTAGGAGTCTTAAGTTAGAAATCAAAACCTGGGTACGCAGCTGACTGAAGCAATCCTGCTCTCAAATGCTGAATGTGCGTAGCTCTCATTTATAGTAAGAAAGGGAACAGCACCTAGGTGTTAATACATATTTATTCTATTTAGGAATCAAAATATCTTCAAAGTTTAGTTTGGTCCCTTACTGAAAGAGCTACAAAGCTCCCTTCAGAATAGATAAAACTATTTCTTCAAGTATTTTCCAATGCAGAACTCTAACTTGTATGTTTTCGTCTTCAGACTCGAATACCAGATCCACAGATAAAGCTACCATAATGCTTTAGAAAAAATAACAATCTTAAGCTAATGTTTTAAATAACGAACCATTTAACTGACCATTCTCATGCAAAAAATTAGGATTTAAGTAAGTTAGCTTTTGTCCATGTTACCATCTGAAGCCCAAAGAAAATTTACATACAGCTGATTTGCCTCCTTGCTACTTTTTCTACAATATAACTTGTTCGATGTCTTAAGAATATATCATATATGCCCTGTGAATCACTGAGGTATTCCTCCATTTATACCTGGTGTCATCTGCAACCAGAAATGGATTTGAGACCTCTTAGGATTCTGGGTGTAAATAGGAAGAAGTAACTGCAAGTTCAAGATTTTCTTATCTTTCAGAATACAGCAAATTAATTATTTGAAAGTCCTCACTTATTATTTCATCTCCCGTTTTACAATGCAAATTCAAAAGTAAACCTCCTTGTCAAGAAAATGAATGATTAGCATTTATACAGTGTTTTATCAATTCAAACAAATGTGTAAGCATGTCAGTCCTACAAACCCTCCTTTCTTAGCATACTAAAGACCACAAGATTGGGCCACCAATATAATTCAGTGGCATGACCTAATCCAAGGACTAGACATTTTGTTTTCTTCTTTGTTTTCCAAATTATGTGTGTACCGATTTCTCTGGGCAGCATGGGCTTCACACTCAGCACAACGGGACGTCACTTTTGGTATGGAAATTAAATCACAAATTTTAACATTTATGGAGCCCCTTCGGACTTACACCAGCACACCTAAACTCAGAATTGTCCTTCCATAGATAGCACTTCTTCTGGTGCTGCAAGGAGTTCGCAAACACACATCATGTCCAACTGCATGTTTCCTGACTATTTGTAGTTGTAGCCTTGATGAGCAGACAGAAAGGTCCCTGAAACAACACTTCTGTCCTGTGTGCACCCCACAGTGGCAGGTACACGTTTCATGAAGCCTCAGAGCAGAAAATATGAGCACTCATGAAGTCTGAGTTGGAGGGAGAAAGAACCTTCTGCAAGGAACCTGGTATTCTGCATATACATTTGGAAATATAAAAAGAGTGGGGAACATGCATTCCCTGGCATCAGCAGCTCTGGGTTAACTGCAATAAAACAAACAATCAGAGAAGCAAACCCCAGCCTTGCTTCCACAGCCACCGCAGGGAAAGGGCTTATTTTGCAACCCTCCTGCTTGTGCAAATAGCCCCATGGAAGGAAAAGGGAACACTGGCACAGGTCATTGGAGCAGCTGCCCCTAAGCAAGTGCTCCTGTGTGAGCACATCCCTTCCTTGTGGACTTTTGACATATCTTACTGCTCCTCATCACATAGGCTTCAGCTTTAGCAAACTAGATTTCCAACCAACAACCAAAACCATAAAACCCCAACCCACTTTGCCACCTAAACTGAAGCAAAGCTCCTAAAATGAGTCCTCGATTCAATTACCCATGACATATAAGGAGAAGTTTAATAAATAAATTAGTAAAGCTAAACCAGGCTGCAGCCTGGTAGACACAGTAGAGTTGAACACCTATACCCCTTAATATACATGACACGAGAATTCACACATTAACAACAGGTTAGGAGTGATAAGTATGGGTCAGCAGTCTTTTTGGTTTTAAGCTGGGAGTTGCATCTACCTGCAGAATGATAAGACAGCTTCATTTCTAATTGCACCAATCTTGACCTAGTAGACCTTGCATCCACTGAAGTCGATGGATTTGAACCAACAACCAAGAGAGGAGATGAATAAAAACACCCTTGCAAAAGTATTTAGCATTTACTTTCCTTTTAAAGAAAAGAACTTTTTTCTTTTTTTTTTTAATGGACTTCTAACTTCTCATACCAATGTGCTATATATGACTGTACACACAACAGGAAGGCTGTTAAGCACGGCAGAAAGGTAGCATGTATTGCACAACCAGTGGAAATACTTGAAGAAAACTGCTAGAACTCTACAAACTATTTTTAATTAAAAGCATCCAATATCTCAGCAAGCAGCTGATAATTAGCTTCATTATTGTAATTTAATATGCTAGACTTCACAATCTCTGTGTATGACTCTACTTCAGAACCATTTTAATTCTATTTTTAATTTCTGCCTCATCACACAGCTCAATGTAAATAATAACTACAAGGATGAGAGGTGGTCCTTTCTGAAAATTGAAACCTGCGAGTCATAATAAGCACTTCAGTGTCCTTCCATTTCTGTTTTAAGAAAAACCCTCCAGGTATTTTAAAGAACTGCACTAAAACAATAAGAAGAAGGGTTTAAACTAAGTGGATCAATTTGTCTCCCTCTACACTAATTCCATATTCAGCATTTGCTACAAAGTCTCAGGAGATGTTTAGTTTATTCAGTTGTTTCTCTCTTCCTGCCTAGTGTAAATTCTGGTTAACTGCGCAACTTGACAATACAATTATGAGCATACAGTGAAATTTCAATGGAAAGCTCCTGTCTGCAAAATGAAGGAAGCACTGTAATTCAACACACAAGATTAAGAAAAGAACTCTGCTAACAGTACAAATGTGAAACATTTATATGTCTGGTATACGTAAAATTAATTTCCATGTTAGTGAGGGTGTAAGAAAAGTTGTCTCAAAAGATCCTACATAATTCTCAGTTCTTTGGGAATCCTTTTTCAAAGCACTGAAAATGATCTTTTATGCACGTGTATATTTTCCATATGCATTCTTCTTAGTATTCTACTGTGTTTGAGCTATATTCATGTAACAATTCATCGTTAAAGGACAAAAGAAAAGATCTGTTCTTTTATTGACTTTATGTGCAAATTACTGGACTTGCAAACATGAAAAGGCTCTTCCTTCAAGTTTTTGAATTGCAACCAGAGTCATTATAAACTGTTTCCAGAAGATGAGAAAAATATGAAGGTAATTTTCCTAATTAAGGCCACAGTTTATTAATGCATTAAACTCTGTCACCTTTATTCACTAAAAATAAAGCAGAAAAGTGTAATAAATTCACCGTGACAAAGGAAATGCACACATTTCCATCTTATAAATAAACGGCCTAAAACAAGGTGAGGTGTGTAAATTAAAGCACTCAATCTGAGAACACAGCACATTCTCAAGTGGCCAAATTGGGCTCCTGGATGTTCTTC